CCGCGGGGTGCGGGCCGGGGAAGGGGCTTCTCCTGGTGACCGCTGGGGAACTGGAGGGCGGCCCCGCCCGGCGAGCCCAGGGGGCTCCGTGGCCCTCCGGCTGGCCCTTGAGGTGCAATAGCGGGGTCCCCGTTCGACAGAGGCGGCCCGCTGCGGCCCAGGGACTCTGGGGGAGGCCAGGTCCAACTCCAGCCTGCGCCTTCGCGCACCCACCTGGAGAACTCGCCCGTTCTGCCCCTCCCACCTGTTGGGAGGATGGTCCCCCTGGACAGGCCTGGCGCGTCCCCGGCGGCAGGTGGTAGGCGGCGAGTTCGGAGAGCCGGACGTGGATGGAGTTCGACCTGAGTTCAAGTTCCAGCCAGCGGCTATGTGATATGTCAAGTTATGTAACCCGGAGCATCTCTGCCCTGGGTGTAAAGCGAGGATGCTAACCGTGCTAGCTGCATCTGAGGAGAGTGAGAGGGCTGAGTGCCTGGCACGTAGCACGTGTCCAGGTAATACCACAGCTTTAGGGAGCACCTGGGTGTCGTTTAATTCCCAGATTACTCCGCAGATGGGCGTTTATTGTCCCATTTCTCAGTTAAAGAAACTGAGACTGGGGGGGGGTGAGCTCCCCAGGAGCAAAGGCTTGGTTTTTGTGGCACCCCGTTCCATCCAAGGGACTCTTCACTGCTGCCACCTTGTGTGTTGGGACCTGCTGAGGAGGTGGAGCAGCAGAGGCTCCTGAAGCCCTGAGAGCAGGAGTCAGAGCAGATAGATGGCAGCAGAAAGTGTGGGAGAGAACAGGTCTGTTCCCCAAGGCTGTGGCCAGGGGCAGAGCTCCATCTCTCCTTCCCTGCTGCCCACTGGCCAAACCCTGGGTAGGGAGGGGTCACGCAGGGTAGTATTGATGGAGGCATAGACATGGAATTATGATGGCAGCAGGGAGGGCCTAGAGCTGGCAGATCTGGGAGGGCTCCCTGGAGGAGGCACCTTATGGCCAAAGCACCAGGGGGTGAACCAAGGACAGGATTTGGCCACAGCAGGACAGTTCCAAGCTGGGAATCTGGCCCGAGGCCTGTCTGAACCTGGCTGCCTGACTGCCTGGCTCTCCGTTTCCCCATACATCTAAGGTGCCGCTCTGCTCAGGGCGCCCAGCTTGAGCAGCTCCCACGTGCCCGGGGCCCTGCTATGAAAAGGGAGATTTTCCCTGGCAGCCACAAAGCTGGGGTTAAGACTGGGTGAAGAGGCTCAGGAAGGGTGATGTGGAGGAAGGAGCCTGAGAACCAACTGCAGGCTGGTCTTAGCCACGCCCACGCCCCCCCACCTGTGCCGGCTCTGCTAGGCCCTCCCCGGCCTGCAGGGGGAGGCAGAGGCCCAGTGACCGCGGGGCGGCTTCGCTCCCTTATCTGCACGCCCCAGCCAAGCCAGTTTCCCCGGGTGTGAAAATCAAATAAAGACCCCTGGAGGCATAAAATCGGAGCTTACAGGGATCATGCCCGTCGGTTCCCTCCCCTGCACTTGGGCCTCCTGAATGATGTATTTGCTTCTTCCTACATGGCAGCCACTTGAGCTGGCAAATAGTGATGCCCACTCTCACGGAAACAGATGGGGAAACACATGGGGTAACTAACGTGGTCCGAGGATGCGCCCTGCCCCTCCCCACTGGGATAGGAACCCCGGTCCGGTTCACTGCTTCACTAACCTGGCCCGGCACCTGCACAGAGATCCAGCTAGGCCTCCGTAAACAGCACGTGTGTGAGTGATGAGACCGGCCAGCGGTGAGCTGCTCCTTGCCAGCGGCAAAGGAAGGAGCCACGGCTGAAGTCATTTCTGAGAAAAACATCTCCCGGGCTAGTGACTTCTCTGTCCAGGCCTCAGGCAGCGAGCAGCAGCGGGTGCTAGGTCAGAAGCCAGGTTACTGGGCCAGCCCTGCCCTGATCTGTGACCTGCGAGTTTCCTCCTCCTAATGTGCGAGCCAGTGCTAAGGCTTCTGCTTTCTGCGCCTGGGTTACCCTCTGTGCCGAGCCCGTCCACGCTGACGAGGCCCCAGCCTGTGGGGAGGATCTGTGATGTGCTGATACAAGTTTATTATCAGGACACCTTAACTTACACCCTCTGCCAGTTTCTGTGGTGAAAACGCTCCCACTGGCCTGTGGGATGTGCAGTCACTGAACATCTGTGATGTGCTGATACAAGTTTATTGCCAGGACACCTTAACTTACACCCTCTGCCAGTTTCTGTGGTGAAAACGCTCCCACTGGCCTGTGGGATGTGCAGTCACTGAACACGGAGTGGGGAAGATGTGTCCCTTTCATTACGGATGCAAATTACCTTGAGGACATGGGTCGCGGCGAAGTCATGAAGAGGTGTTTTTTTTAAAAAAACAAAAGATTTATTTATGCATACAAGAGCTCAGGTGCAGGCCAGAGGTGCAGGGGTGTGAGAGGACTCACCAGAGACACGAAGTGGGGAGCAGAGCAGGCGAATTCACTGAAATCCACTGGTGAGGGGAGCAGCAGGGAGACAGGAGGG